CTCTGTGGGACTTTCACGTGGGGGCCTCTGCCTGGCCTGGGTGCAGGAGGGGCAGGGGCCTGGGACGCAGGGTCTCTCACAGGCGTGAGGATACTCGGTTGGGTTTCTGAACATTTCAGGGCTGTACTGAGTTCCTTTCAATTTGTTGCTTTTTAGCCTAATAACTAAATCACAAAACATGGCTACAGTCCACTGCCGTCATCCACAGTGGAGGGTTTGGCATCCCTCAACCCACTTCACGTTTTCTGTAAAATTAAGAACTTTAAACAAGGAACCGCCAGTCTAGAAAGAAAGTATCTGTGACATTTTAACTTTTTTTTCCCAAATCTCTTCAAAACTTTACTAGCCCACATACCCCTTCAAGACAAAAATCATAACACGCCTTACAAACGTGATGCGGAATACGGACCGTCTGTGTTCTGGGTGAACCCATCGCTTCTCCTCCGCCTCTGCCTTCCCCTGGAACACATGCATGTAGATGCAATTACTATTTAAAAGGCAGACGGGAATGCATCAGGCTCTCATGAAACCAGTCTTTGTCGGCACAGAACCAGGAAGTAAAACAGGGAGAACCAGGAAAACCAAGGAAGAAGAACAGGAAGAAGCACCTGAATGAAGGAGAAAGGGGGAAGGGGAGGGGAGGAAGAAAACAGAGAAGGGAGGGAGGGAGGGAGGAAGGGAGGGAGGGAGGGAGGAAGAAGGAAGGAAGGAAGGAAGGAAGGAAAGGAAGGGAGGGAGGGAGGAAGGAAGGGAGGGAGGGAGGGAGGAAGGAAGAAGGAAGGAAGGGAGGGAGGGAGGGAGGGAGGAAGGAGGGAGGGAGGGAGGGAGGAAGGAAGAAGGAAGGAAGGGAGGGAGGGAGGGAGGAAGGAAGAAGGAAGGAAGGAAGGAAGGAAAGGAAGGGAGGGAGGGAGGAGGAAGGGAGGGAGGGAGGGAGGAAGAAGGAAGGAAGGGAGGGAGGGAGGGAGGAAGGGAAGGGAAAGAGGGAGGAAGGAGAGAGAACCTGAAGCTGGAAGGAGGAGGAGAAGGAGGAGGACTGGAAGCACCTGGAGGATACCTGTGTCTTCCTCACCCGCCGGAGCTTCGGGCCTGGCCCGGGACGCCTCACCCTGCAGGGAGGAATGTTGCTTCGGGCAGCTGGTGTCCCCAGGTTTGAAGAGGTCACTTTTCCACCTCTCGCTGTCACAGAGGGCTGAGTTTGATCACAAGATCCACACACAACTTGACTCGCCGCTTTCTTCCCGTCTTTACTCCTCTCTTCTCGTTTCTTTGACACCCTGACCCCCTTGATGTGCGGAACACACCAAAGAGGCCTCCAATTAAAAAGAGAAAATGTAGAAGGAAGTTGGCCGAGAAAGAGGGGACACAAATACGCCGGAACTGGAGTCCCCCACGTTGGGCCCACACGCTGGCGACACTGTGGGCTCCGAGGCGGCCGACGGGAGGTGGAAGCGGCCTTCCCAGGGGAAGCGGACACGGCTCTCAGCAGCTTCTCCAGCAACCTGGGCCGTCCTGCAAGCACAGAACCGAGCTGCCATTCGGGCCGTTTCATCTGCGCCAGGAAGGCTGGGGACCACCCTCATCCACCCCACCCCACCCCCTTGGGTTTCCTGGCCCGTGTTCTTCAGCCCCCGAGCCCGGCTGCGTTCCGCGCCGAGGGTCCCGGAGCTCTGCTTCTGTGGCCTTGCAGGGACCTGTCGGCCACCACGTTAGTCCGTCAGTCAGGCTCCGTTCAGCCACAAACTGGACCATGAGACCTGGGGACACGTGCAAAGAGGAGCCCGTGAAGGTGCAGACTTTGAAACACAGCATCTGTCTCCACTACACAGCACCTCCTTTGAATTTTAAATGTCACCTCTAAAAATGTAAAAAGGCACTGCTGGTAACTATAATTTGGGGAAAAAAAAAAAAAAAAACAAATCGAATGTCTGTTTCTTACCAAATCTTTTGCTGACCCACGGATCACCGCACAGGTGGGATCACAGATCACCACACAGGTGGGGTCCCCGGCCCAGCCATCGGTCTCGCAGCATCTCTGGGAGTCCAGCCTGCCCTGCTGCCTCGGTCCCGTGAAGCCTCGTGGCTTGGCCTTCAGGCGAGAAGCCCCCATGCACGCCGGCGTGGCCCCCACTGTCACTGGAGCCCGGGAGGCGTCCTCCCCCACAGCACAGCCCACATCTTGGACGCGCACTCTGAGATCTTGCCTCTTGCGTGAAAAGCAGCTCTGACGGGGTTAACACGAAGGAGTTTTGTGTTTGTGACTAAAAGCCGCAGACAGGAGCCTTCACGTGTCTCCTTCACCGGCCCTGGGGATGGAGGCAGCGGGACAGGATGCAGCTGGTGGGTGCCCGACACTGGGGCTGGCACTTTTGGCCTATCATCGCGCCACCCCTGCCCCCACCCCAGCAGCCGAGCAGGAGGCTGAACCCAGCAGGTAGGCGCTGCAGCCACAGCAGACCCAGGAAGGCCCTGGGGGGATGCGTGAGGGCCGGGCGCCAGACCACCCCGGCTCTTCAACACAATGGATGCAAAGTCCTTGTTCCAGGGCGACCCACCGAGGAAACGCTCCTGGTAGAATTGGGAGGGGCTGGACACAGAGTGGACCGCACACGGCTTCGCCCACGGATCCGGGTTTGCGATAGTGGCTCGTGGGTCCTGCGTAAAGGATTTCAGTTCAGGTTTCTTTTAGACCCTAGGTCAATGTCATGGAGGAAAAGCCATCGATTCTCATGGAAGAATCCTGGGGAAGAGGATCCGAGGGCGTCGCTCATGCCCCGTTAAACCTTCAGTTCTTCCACCCACATGGGGCATCCTCCTCCTCCCAGCAACAGAGAACTCACGAGATAACCTGAGCCAGGAACATGAGTTCTCCGTGACTTTGGAGCTGCCTGCACGTGGCAGGAAGCGGGCACCAACAGAACCAGCAAATGGGGGACAGAGGGCCCCAGCGCCCCCTGAGCCCCTCGAGGGCCCCGTCCATCCTCTCCCTCCAGAAGCCAGAACGCTAAGGAGGGATGTGCGGTGCGTCTGCAGCAGGCTGGGCTGTCCCTGGGGCTGCCAGAGCTAGAGCTGGGAACAGATGCTCGCCCCTCACCTGTCGAGGAGGCGATTGGCGCTTTGGGCTCTGGGGCACTCAGGAGAATCTGGGCAGAGGCCCACCAAGCTTAGCTCTTCACAGAGGGGCAGAGTGAAGGTGGGGCTCCCAGGCCCCGACCTTCCCGAGAACCCTCAGGGGCCTCGTTCCAGGGTGGGCCTTAGAGCCAAGCCTGAGCCACAGGGTGCTCTGTCTCTGTGGGGTCTCGGTGTCCAGGAGGAAAGGGGCAGATTCTAAACACCCTGCGGGAAGCCAAGTGTCTGCCGCGCACACCGGCTCTGTGGCATCGCACCAATACCTGCTGCTCTCACACAGGTGCCTGCACCCTCGCACAGCTTCAGGCCCCTCTTCCCGGGGTGCAGGGCCCCACCAGTGCCCGCCCTGGCCAGCGCTGCTCAAACCCTGGGGCAGGAACGGGTCAGCCAGCCCCCCAGCTCCCCGGAGCGCCCTCTGAGCACAGTGGACACTCCCTGGCCAGACAGGAAGTGTGGCTTCAGGGGGGAAGCAGCAGCTCCGGCGCCCACTGGCTGCCTGCCTCACCACACCGGTGACGCTGCCTCCGCCCAGCGCCCCTCACGCGCCGGAGGCTCCCTCTCTACTTCCCGCCTCACTCAGCTGGTGCCATCCCAGAGGCCCGGACAGCTGCCTCCTCCTGCCCGACGCCCAGGGCAGCACCCATGGCGCCGTCAGAGCTGCCGGAGCCTGGCGCAGGCGCAATGATCATGGCAGGTGCGGAGGGGCCGGGTGGCTGCAGCCCCCACCCCTGCTGGCAGCCACCCACGGGGTTCCTACAGGGACACGGCACCTACCCCGCGGGGCACACTCGCCTGCCTGAGGGTCATAACGAAGCACCACACAGTAGGGTCCTAAAGCACAGACCTGTGTTTCCCACGGTCTGGAGGCTGGAAGCCTGAGATAGAGCTGAGTGCAGGCTGGTGCCCCCGAGGCCTCCTTCCCGGCCTGCACACGCGTGTTTCGGGACGCTGGTGCCCCCGAGGCCTCCTCCCCGGCCTGCACACCCGTGTTTCGGGACGCTGGTGCCCCCGAGGCCTCCTCCCCGGCCTGCACACGCGTGTTTCGGGACGCTGGTGCGCCCGAGGCCTCCTCCCCGGCCTGCACACGCGTGTTTCGGGACGCTGGTGCCCCCGAGGCCTCCCGGGCCCATGCAACCCTCTGCGCTTCCCTGGTGAGCTCGTCTCACTCACCTGATGAATGAAAGCTGAAGCCCCGTCAGCTCCACGCCTTTCCAGTGGGGACGTTTTTTCCGCAGTCTACTTGGCCACGGAGAATGCATGTTCTCCTTTGAACTCTGACCCTGAGCCCTTTTCTTGGACAGCAAAGCAGGTGGAGTCGGTGGCATCCACACTCGGAGTGGGGCCTCCGTTCCGGGTCTGTGGGCGCCTAAGGGCCTCCGCTCTTTCTCCGCCTGTCACAGAAGCCTGCACAGAATCCCGTGAGATGACAGGCAGGGTTTCGAGGGTGTGGGGCTCGGGGTGAGGCCGGGGCATCCTGGGGAATTCGCTGCCCTCTGTAAGGTCCATCCAGACCCCACCGGCCACCGCCAGGCTGCAGGAAGAGAGGAGGCTGCAGGCAGGCGTCAGTCAGCCGAAACCCCGCCTCGGGAGCCGCCTCAGAGCCGCACAAGGGTGCCCTCGGCGAGCAGAGCCGTGGACGGGCGAGGACAGAGGGCGCTGGGTGGCTGCGCGGGGCCCGTGCACTCCCTGAACGACTGCAGACGCGGCCTGACCCTCCTGCCCCAGGCAGCCCCCTTTCCCTGGGGCCCCACAGGAAAATGCTTGGAGTGGCTGCAGGGGAGGCTGAGCCTGAAGGGGGTTCCCAGGTGACGGCGCCGCCCACATGGAGCCCCCGGTGGGGTCGGTCACGCGGGTCTCCTCTGCTTCCTCCTCAGGATCTGAAGACCGTGCTGTCCCTGCCCCGGTACCCAGGGGAGTTCCTGCACCCCGTGGTGTACGCCTGCACGGCTGTCATGCTGCTCTGCCTGCTGGCCTCCGTCGTCACCTACATCGTGCACCGGAGGTGAGCCTGGCACGGGCACAGGGTCCACTTTGCCCCAAGAAACCTGCTTGTACCTTCAAAGGCAAGTCCCTGAAGGGCAATGTCACCCCACCTAGTGTAGTAAAAGTCCCTGAAGGTACAACTCCGTCACCGGCCAGCTCAGACCTGCCCAGCACCAGGTGCCCATCACACAGCCGAGGGCGGACGGAGCTGGGGAAGCCACCCCGTCAGGGTCACTCAACAGCATCCCCCACGTCCTTAACTGGGCGAAACAAGTTCTCCCAGAAATGGGTGCCATGTCGGTCCAGACGCCCTGAGAAGCTCATGTCCCTGGGTGGTCAGCATGGCCTGCAGAGAACGTGAGGTGGCCCAGCTGTGGTCAGAGTGGGCGTGGCCTCCGCCAATCCTCGGCAGAGGCTCAGGTATGTCTGAGGCCGAGATCACCTTGGTAGCGGACACAGCTTGGATGCGTCCAGGGCCACAGTCTCGTCAGAGACTCGGACGCACTCGAATGAGGCTGTGATGGCCAGAAGAGGCGTGGGCAGGTCCGAAACGTGGCTCGGTCTGTTGGGGCCACCGTAGCAGAACATAGCCTCGGGGATTTACCAACCGTGGAAGCTGGCTGCTCAGTTCTGGAGGCTAAGGTCTCAGACCAAGGCCCGCATGGCACTGTGTGTGGAGAGAGGCCACTCCAGGTGCACGGACCGTGCCTGCACCCCGTGTCCCTCCCGTGGAGGGAGGGGCCCTCTCGGGGCTCTTAGGGTCCCTGACCCCACCACACAGCGGAGGCCCCACTTCCGAAGATCATCAGCTTGGGGGTTAATGCGTCCCAAGAACTGGGGGGATAAAATACGTTCAGACCAGAGTGACTGCGATGATGGGGAGAGGCTGACGCCAGGCCGTGGCCGGAGTCTTGGTGGCCATAGTGCAGCCATACCTGTGCTGGCCACAGCCTGGGCAGGCCGGGCCTCAGACGTGGTGGTGGTCACGGAGAGAAGTCACGGCCACGGGCGGGCATGGGGGGCTCGGCCCAGGCTACAGCCGGGGTCTCGCTGAGTCACTCCAGCCACGGCCTCTTCCTGGCATGCCAGACCCCTGCTCAGCGGGATGACCCGTGCTGGGACCCTCTGTCTCTGAGACTGTGTGGCCATGACCTGGAGTCTCAGAGTCGCAGCATCTTCATCCACCCAGTGATCAGGTTGTTCAAGCTTCTGCAAACCCCTCCCAGACTCAGGGTGCCAGGGCAACCTAGGCCAGGACCACTAGTAGCCACCACTCAGGGCACACTTGGCACGGCCCGTCTGCTCTCCCCTGACTGGGTCCTCAGACAGTTGCCCCTGACCCCACGGAGAGCCTGGACTCCCCAGGGTCAGAGCCTGCACCCCAGGGAGCTCCTCTCCATCCCTCCCCCGGTGGAGCCGCTGCTCACATGCACCTGCTTTCCTTTCCCACAGTGCCATCCGCATCAGCCGCAAGGGCCGGCACACGCTCCTGAACTTCTGCTTCCACGCGGCCCTGACCTTCACAGTGTTCGCCGGTGGCATCAATCGCACCAAGTACCCCATCCTGTGCCAGGCGGTGAGTGTGGGGGCGCCTTCGTCAGAGGGAAGTGTGTGAGCGTCGTCTTGTTTACGAAATAATATTCCAGCATGTGCCCAGACATTTCCTGGGAGAGGAGCCAGGCCCCGGCCTGTCGGTATCTCGGCTTCATGCCACAGGAGTTCACATGCCTGATTCCACTGCATGGAATCCAGACTGATTCCACTGCATGGCCCCCTCCAGGCCTGTGCTAACCTGACATTTACCATCCCCAAAGGGAGTGCTCGCCGGGAGCAGGGACACAGCTTGCCCCTCCCAGAGAAAGTGGCGGGGTCAGCCCAGGAGGGGCATGCGTGCCGGTCCAGGGAGGAACCTGTGAACTCTGCCCCCAAGTCACCAGAGAGGCTACTCAGGGAGCCTCCTCCCCTCGCAGGGAGAGCTGAAGCCTCAAGGCACTGAGTGTTGAAAAGAACAACACACAGAATGGCTCTTCAGGCCCAGGTGACCTTGGTTTAAAAGTGGGGTGCATGCATCACACACAGCTTCTGGCAGAGCTCATGGTAGGCACTTACATCAAATCTGAGCAGGGTCCTCATCCACTTTGCACTGTGGCTCATGGCCAAGGAGAGGACCCGCCTGGAGCCTCTGTAGCCCTAGCCAGCCCAGCCCCAGTGGCCACCCCCCTCCAGCAGTCACACAGCCCAAGTTCAGCCCTGAGCACAGTCACCTCCACGACCCAGGCACAGCCAGGGGGTTTCCACAGATCATCAGCCCTGCGGTTTCTGGGACCCTCCCAAGTACCTGGCACTGACGTGTGCCCGCAGATAGCAGTGGCCGGGATTCACGCAGGGGCTGTTTCTGCAGGGGCGTCGGGGGAGAATCGGGGCTGAGTGCACATAATCCCCCTCCCCTCCAGGCTCCCACACCTGCAGCCACCCTGGGGCTTCCTTCCCAGCACCACACTTCCCTGCGCAAGGTCAGGGCGGGCCAGGCAGGCACTCACACAAACACAGGGCCCTGGCATCTGGCACGCAGAGAAGACATCGTGTACGTGAGACCACAGGTCGTGGCAAACCACCAGGAGGCCATGCCCCCCACCCAGGCCTGGGCCCAGCAGAGGAGTCCTGGCAGCACCTGAAGGCAGCTGAGATCAGACACACCTCCCGCCTCCTTACTTGTTCCTCTGGTAAGCTGGAAACAACCACAGCAAGTGCCCGGGAAACGCAGTAGACATCCCGCCTGTGAGTGCCTGCAAGGGGCCATTTGGAGGTGGAGCCAGGGGCCGTCACCGCCAGGCCTGCACTTTGCCACCAAGCACGCTGCATGCTGCGATGAAGCCTGCCGGAACCGCGGGCGGGGACGCCACCCAGGGCCTTCTGCAAATCCTCCCTGTGCCTTCGGGACACCCATCACTCTCTCGCTCTCAGCCTACCCGGGCGGAGCTCCTGGGCCCAGACCTGCGATGACAGCCCGGGGTGGCTGCTGGGGTGTTGGGGCCGCAGTCCGGCTGGTCCGGAAGGTTCCAGAGGGGTGCGACCTTGGAGGAGACCTTGTTAAGGCAACAGCCTTCAGGAGGCAATGAGTGGAAAAGATGGTGGCCGATTTCCAGATGCAGCCCTGATCTCCTACAGAGCACCGTTCACTGACTCAGTGGCTCACTCATTCACTCACTCACTCATTCACTCATTCACTCACTCACTCACTCATTCACTCAGTCACTCATTCACTCAGCCACTCA